GGGAAAGATGGCAGGGAAAAGGAGGATGGCTCAGCTGCACACCCTGAGCCTGACACCATTTTGTCTCACATGGCAGGGAGGCCAGAGGGTCCTCTTGACACTGACTTGAGACAGCATCAGGCCCTTCCCAGCACAGGACACCAAGGGCCACATCCCGAAGGCACAGCAGACTCCCTCCCCTTTGACTGCACAAAGACGGTCAATGGCCTTCTCCCCGCTGCTCAGCTGCCTCCGCAGCAGGGCAACAGGCCTGGCCAAGCAGGTGAGTTAGAGCCTGGGGGGACCGTTTCAGCCTCCCCAGAAAACTCAGAAATTCACACCCTGCCTGAGCATGATGGAGACAGTCCCAGGGTGAGCCCACAGGCTCCCTGCTCCCCCCGAGATCCTTGCAGGAGCCAGGCGATTTCTTCCTCTAACAGCTGGGCAGCAGCCGAGCCCCAGGAGAGTGGGAGCAGTGCGGAGGACCTGGACAACTGGGTGGATGGTCAACAGGAGAAATCCAAACCTTGTTCCTCCAGCCTGGGAGGTGCCCAGGTGGGCCTGGACACATGGGCTGGGAGCTGGGGGGAATGCTGCCCGCTCGCAGCACAGGGGGACGGCTGCACGGACCTCGACTCCAAACTGACAGAGCAGCTGGCACAGTTTGAGAAGAGTCTGACAGCTACCGGCGCCGAGCAGGACAAGGTCTCCCGACACTTCTCCATATTGGACTACAGCTCTGAGAAGGACATTGTCCGTGGGTCTCCTGAGTGTGCCCCCCACGCCAGACAGCCAGAGAGGAGGAAGGCCCTGAGGCCACCCCCTCCTCGCCCCAGCAGCCTTGCGACAACTGCTGTGCACACGCCGGGTGCCCAGGTGCCCAAAGGCAGGTCTCTGTCCTTCTCAGTCAAGCCCTCCAGGCCTGCACCCCGACCTCCATCAAGCAACCAGCGGAAAAACATGGCCCCTGCGCAGCTGCAGCCCAGCGCCCAGAAGCAGCGGGCAGAGGAGGGACGGGAGGACTTGACGCGGGCAGGATCAGCTTCCCCCTGCTCCATTCTGCTGACGAGGATTGGAGAGGTGGAGCAAGACCTGGAGGCTTACGGCAAGACCCGCACTGAGCTGAGCCTGATGCTGGAGCAGCAGCAGGATGAGCTGGTGAGAGTGGAGACCCTGGAAAACCTTGATTTCTGTGACTCCAACATCGAGACCCTCAGCGTGGAGCTGCAGGAACTGAGAGGTGAGTCTGCAGCAGCATGGGATGGGGTTGCTTCAGGGGGACAACTGGCCCCCACTGTTGGAGCCAGTCTTTTATTTCCTTCTATAATTCCCGATTCTGGTTGTGTTGTAAGCATTGTTGCAGCATCATGATTTTGCCTCAGAGAACCACAGTGTCATTCTCTGGACATCCCTCAGCCCTGGCCTTCCCTACCCCCTTTTCCTTCCAACTCTCATGTCTCCTCTTCCAGCCCCACTGTACATCCAGAGACCTCGTCTGATCCGTTCCGGTGTGTTGTTGCTCTCAAACAAAATCACAGCTGCTGCAGGCTCAGCCTCCCTGCCTCACCCCCTCTTAGCTGTAGGGGAGTGAGCAGCAGCTTCAGAGTGGCTTTACTGGCGGTCCTGCAGTGGAGATCTGACTTGATGTCTGCAGTGTGACTGCCTCAGCCTGTCAGGCGCTGGGTTTGCTGCGGTTCCTACTCTCGGTGGTGATACAGACCGCTGGGGACACGTCACTCAAGTCAGAGGGGGTGCACAGAAGGGCGCTGAACCTGGCCTGGGAGAGCAGAGGATTAGTGGGCAAAAGGTAAACCCTGCCTCTACCTGTCCATGGAGTCCAGGACAGGAAAATGACACTGAGCTGTCAGTAACAGCAACAAAGAGCTTTAAATTGTGGCATGTCTGTAGCTGAAAAGGTGGCTTTTGTCCATGCAGCCCAGAAAAATTACTCGGGGAGGAGAAATTTGCCCTGTTTATATCAGCACATTTGGGCTCTGAAACCCAAAGATGCCATATAAAGATCAGTGCTGTTAGTTATGTTACGCTTGACATTACAGGAGACAAAGTGGAAGGACAGGACCACGTGCATCTCCCACAGTCCCTTCCCCAGCTTATCCCAGAAGCTCTGACACTGTGGTTCTGTTACCGAAACCCACGAGGTACAGGAAATGTGGGCACTGCATGCGGGAGGTGGAGTGAAATGCCAGCTCCTGCCTGGGGATTACTCACTCTGACTTCATTGCCTCCATCCTCCCACTGCTCAATCAGCGCTGGGGAGCCCAGGCGCTTTGCTGCAGGATCGTGTCTGATGCAGAGCACATGGGAATGAAGGCTGATACGGGTGCACCAGGGAAACAGGGTGCCAAACAGCCTCCACATCAGTGGGGTGCAAGAGGGATGCTTGGGAGGAGGCGTAGAGGGTTGGAGGCTAGATGAAGTAACTTGAAGGCAGGAAGAGGAAAATCTAGGCTGGATCAAGGGAAATTTTCTTAGGGGATAGATCTTGCTGGGAAATGTCTCCTGCTGTCCCAGTGCTTCTTGACAGAAGATGGGTCCTGCAGAACCTGTGCCCTGTTGGTTACTGGAATTAGAAGTTTTAGGCACTAACACACTATCCCGAGACATCCTACCTTAGTAGTCTTAGGGGATTTTTTTACCACTTCAAGAAACCGGAGAATTTTTACGTAACCTCTCTGGTCCTGTGATAAAGATGTGCCCTACCCAAGCTCTGTTGCATCCCTCCTGCCACATCTGAGTGTGGCCAGAGAGCACGTCTCAGGCTTGCTAGCCCAGCTTCAGTGCAGCAGGCCGGATCAGTAATGCTGTGTTGCATTGGCTCAGCAAGACGTGTCTGCACCATGCCCAAGGCATGGCCTCTGCCATGCTGCCGTTAGGGGAACATGGAGGCACGCGGGAGGGACGAAAGCTTTGCTTAAGCATTGACCAGCAACCAAAGCAGGGCTGGCATAGTCTTGGGGGAGCCCCTTGGTGTGTCCTTTGGGGAGCCAAAGGAAGAGGAGAAAGTATGTTGTTTTATAAAATACGTGTTTAAAATCTGCATGTTTCTTCTTTGGTATGTCTTATTTGCGCACTGGGCATTTCACTGGTCACCAGACTTGGGCAGGATGAGTGCTTGCCCTTCTGCAGGTGGAGTAGGAGGGTCCTTTGGTTTTATTTTTGTCTCCTATAAGCTGGGAGCATTGGCTGTGCATCCCTAGCAAGTGTTGCAAGAACCTGGGCGTGGATGACATACTTGGACTCTACTGCTTTCTGTCTGTGGTATGTTGTGGTCATCTCTTGGTTTCTCATAGGAGCTCCTGCATTTGATATGGAAAACTGGGAATATGTTTTGCCCTGCAGGGAGAGGAGCATTTCTGTAGTATCCTGGAAACTTGCATTGTGTGTTGGCAGTGGACTCTGTAACCCAGATAGTGCCTTCAAGCCTGTCCCTTTCAGTGGGTGGACCAGGCGTTCTCCCTGGAGCAGGGAACCGGGCAGCTGTGGCTGCGTGGCACTGTGTAGGCACCGCTCGGGGATGCTCTGTCGCCCAGGGAGCGGCTCATCTCCAGCTCTTCGCAGGACCTGTGGGTGAGGGCTGCGAAGGGGATGGGCTCAGCATCAGGTGTGAGCCAGGGGCAGCCTGAAGGCCTTGGTTTCCCCCGGTGAGGTGTGGAGCAGAGCCCAGCCCCTGGTAGACCGTGTCGTTTAGCCTCTGTGCTGGCGGGAGCCTGAAGGCAGGGAAGGAGATCTGGTATCCCGTCTCTGGTCTGTGGCTTCCCGCGCTCTCACACGCCGTTTCCCTTCCCCGAGGACACTGGTCTTGGGGCAGGGCCTCGGCATGCTCCAGTGCCCTGCTTTTCCCTGTCTCTGAGCCGCTTGCAGAGAGGCTTTGGCAAAGCGGGCGGGCCGGTTTGGGCGGCGG